GGGCTTCATTTGTGGGCGGCAGGGGGCTGTGGCGGGTGGCTTGTGTCGTGGCCGGCCCGTGTTGGCCCTGGGCTGAGGGCGCTGCGGGAGCGGCTGCCCGCGGTCTCCTTGCCGCTGGGGCCTCGGCAGGAGGCGGTGGCGGAGCAGCGCTGGCTCGTCCCGCTTCGTGTCGGGAGGCCGGAGGTGGCTGCGCTGTGCCCGGTGTGAGGAAAAAGACACAACTTCGGGGCTCAAATAAACTAGTGTGTTTATTAAGGAAAAAAAACAAACAAACAAACAACAAAGGGGAGGAAGGGATAATGGGTGAGAGAGTAAAAAAGAAAGGAAATAAAAAAAGTCCCGGGTCTGAGGACTGAAGAATCCTCTGTCTGAACTGGCGTTTTGGTCCCAATGCAAGAACTCGGCGGCACTGCAGTGAATGCAGCTGATCTGCACTCAAATTTATATTAAAAAAATCTCTAAAAGAGATGTAGACCGTGGTCTTCAGTGTCTGAATCTGCTGCAGCTAATCCACAGTTAAAAGGGCAGTTCTTCGACTCTCGTAGCTCCTTTTATAATCTCTGTCTCCTCAGTTTGTTGCTGGCAGTCCCACCCCTACAGTTTCTGTTGACTGGTGCTGGTAAAAAAACTTCTCCTCCAAGTCTGCTGTTGCTGGGGGTAACTGAGGTTTCTGGCGGGAAAGTTTCTCATTAGTATGCACTGTTGTTGTGGCGTCAGGCTACAAGTCCTCTGGAGCAGGCTAAAAATTCTTTGCAAGATGCTGCTGGTGAGGGGATTTGCTTTGAAGCCCTGGAAAGTGACAAATTTAAAAGGGATTATTAAACTCACAAATAATGTATAGCAACAAATAATATAGTAAGGGACCACAAAAATAGGGACAATGCTTATGGCAATTGACAACCTTGTTGGCAGAACTATCAAACATTCAATTAGAACACACAAAAAAACCAATCAGTACAATTCTACAATGACCGACTTCTAAACAGCAACTTCAAACAATCCCACATGCAAAAGCCAGTCGAGGGGTTTTATAGATGACACCGGGACTGTTCTTGGCTATGCAGGACCAGACTGACAACCCCTGGTACAGCGAGAGATGTCCCTCCCTGGGGCTAAGATGGGACAGGATGAACTTGAACGTCGCTCACAACCGAAAGCACTCAAGTGAGAGACACACGGGGTCAGTAGGGGAAAAAAACACTTTTTCTCGCACGGTTTCCCGAAGGTTAAGCCAAGTAAATTCCGCTTTTTCTGCCAGGCCCCGCCTCTCCTGTTTCCAAACAGGGACACAAAGTGCGATGCCAGCGCTCAGTGTCCCTGGGCTCCAACCTGCCAGGAGAGGGGCTGGCAGCAAGAGAGACAAGGGACAATCCTTGTCCTCCTCAGGGCAGCCTGTTTTGCCCCTCGTGAGGCTGAGCCCGATTTGTGCCTGTGTAGGCACTCGGCAGCTCCCAGACCTTGTTACCGCCTGTCCCGGCCCGGAGCTCGTCTGCAGCAGCTGCAGAGCCAGCGGGGGCCGGAGCTCCCGGAGTCTGCACTTGTGCTGCAGATGCTGCTGCAGCGTCCTCGAGCAGCAGGGACAGGGCAGGACTGGCCCGGCACTGCCGTCCTGTGCCTGGAGAACCGCAGGGCTGGAACCAGCCGGGGTGGGTCTCTCGTCCTGGGCCATTAATCTTCAGTCTTTGTCATTGCGAAACTCTTCCTGGGTCGGAACTCTGAAAGGCTTTTTCAGCACTGTTGATGTCTCAGGAAAGCAGTGTTTTTTATTCCAAGCAAAGAGAGCCCAGCTGTGAGCTGGAGGAGAGGGAATCCTGCTCCAGTCACAGGGTTCTGATTGAGTTCCTGTGTCCCCAGCATGTGTCAGCAGCCAGGGTTGCACACTTGCCTCGGGAGCAAGAAGCCACTCGTCCTAAGCAGAAAGGTGTTGCTGCCGAGTGTGCAATGGGTGAAGATGTGGAGAATGAGCTCTGCTGCAGCACTGGGAGTGTGAAGGAGCGCCTGGAGTCCCAGAACAGATCAGAAGCTGTGAATGTAAAGAAGAAAACCCTACAGTTTCTGTGTGAGTGTAGGGCCAGCGCTGTGGCCTGTAGGGAGGGGACAGAGTCACCCCAGGAGCACAGGGCTGGCGGGGGTATGGCTGTTTCCAGGGCTCTGGAAGAGGCCTTGTGCTCTGCTGGACCCCCACAGTGGCTGGGACTGACACCCCCAGCTGCCCTGGCCCTGGGCCATTCTCCTGCCACCCACTGTCCCCTAGCCCTGACCCTGGCTGTGCCCAGGCCCTGGCTGTGTCCCTGTCCCTTGTCTTTCTTGCTGCCAGCTGAGTGAGGGGCGCACAGACTGGAGGGTCCCTCCTGTGCTCCCCAGGTGTTGGGTGGGGGAATGCAGGGGGTGGCCCTGCTCAGGACAGCCCCATCCTCACAGCCAGCAACTCTTTCCTACTCCAGGCCAGTGGACCAGATCCCATCCCAAGGTGGCCCTGTCCCTGGCTGTGCTTGTGATCCTGGCCCTGACTTTGGTGGTGACCTGGGCTTTGCAGTCAGGTAAGGGAGAGACAGCTGCCTTGGCCCAGCCCCTCGGGGCACAGCAGGGTCCCTGCTGCCTGTGGAGGGGAATCCTCAGACCTTCAATTGTTAGATATGATTAGATATAATTACTGTTTAAAGAACATGAGGAACAATGTTAAGGGGCTGAGGAGAATCACGAGAAATCTGTGCTTGGGTAAAACAATGCATACAATAGAACAATGTAAGTTTAATAATTAATATGTAAGTTATATAATGATAAGAATATAAAAACATGTTCAACTCAAAACCAAGTCGGGTCAGACTTGGGTATGTGTACCCCTGACACCCAGAGCTCTTCCATAAAGCAACTTCATATAATCATTCCGTGATTATGTGTGTTCCTGAACGCTAACAACCTCAGTGCCAGGTCTCCAGGAGATGAACCTGCAGGAAGAGGACATGATGTGCAAGCTGATGTGTGGCTGCCTGGGCTGGGGCTGGGGGTTTCTTTCTCCTTCTGGAGCCACTCCAGGACTTACCCTGTTTCTATTGCACTGCACATTTATACACTAACCTTTTATGTCTATCTTGATATAACACTGTGTATACTTCCATGTGTACATGGTCCTGGTTGGGGCAAGGTGCCAATAAAGCCAAGGCTGGGATTTGAGCCTACATGAGCCAATCCCTTAGGAGCTGGCCTCAATCCTTGTGTGTTCCTTCCAATTCAGAGCATCCTGTGAGATGTCCCTGTGTGATCCCCATCAGTAATGATGATTCCAATATTGCCAAGATCACGTTCACATGGCAGTATCTGCAGTGTCCTAGCAAGACAGACATAAAAGGCGAGTGTATAAACGTGTAGTGCAAGAGAAACACATCAGCTTCCATATCATGTCGTCTTCCTTCAGGTTCATCTCCTGGAGACCAGGCACTGTTTTTTCCTGCATTATTTTCTGAAGTGTTTTTCATTAAACACTTGTGCTTTCCACCCTTTGTCCCTCGTGTTCAATTGGTGCCGGCAGCCCCATCCCTTCCCCTGTTCCCGGTCCCACATTCTATCCTGGCTGGCGGAGCCTTGGAGCTGCCATGGGGGCCGGGGTGTAAGAGACGGTCCAAAGATTCTCTGATCTGTCTCACAACCGTCTCAAGGACAGAGACTGAGACCCTGAATATCACAAGGGACTGGGTTTAGGGGTTTGGGCCTAGCTGAGGTAGATGTTTGCTAAGTGATTGCTTGCAGGTGCTTGCACAGTACACTGCTCTCATTCCTGCTGGTGAGCAAAGGCTTGCAAGACGTGGTTTGCTCTCTACCCTACACCTGCTCCCCGTGCAATGGAATTCATCACAGTGATCATCAGTCTCCTCTGGTTTTGGCCCTGTGCCCCTTGCTTTGTAAAAGACTATGAAATTATACCCCAAATTTACCTTCCTTTGAGATCTCCCCAACGGACAGAAGACTCTGCATCGTTGGATGGCTGAGTGGACTTCGACATTGGTAGCTGTAATCCCCTTACTCTCTTTTCCTTATGCTTTGCTTTCTCCTCTTTTCTCTTTGTCGCATATTAGTGCTGATGAGCACTCAATAAAGTGTGTTTTGCTGTTTGAGTTCTTGGTTTGCTGATAATCTTTTGTACTCTAAGACTGACTAAAAGAACCACATCATGAATCCCACCTTGCAGATCATGACACGTGGGGCTGCCCCGGGGGCTGCGCCCCGAGCCGGGGCCCCTTCCCAGTGCTCCCAGTGTGCCGCTCCAGCCTGGAGCAGCCAGCGAGGGCTTCAGCTGGGACGGCAGAGAGCACTGCTGGGGGATCCCGGCTCACTTCGCTTGGGTTGGGTCTTCCCAACCTGGGGACAAACGATTTTGTGAGTTTTCTGCCAGAAATCTCTCCCCTCCTCCATTCAGCGAAAGGAATTTGGGCTGGTTTTCCCTCTTGGGGGAAATCAAAGTGATATGGGGCTGAGCCCAGGAGCAGCCCCGAGGGACAAAGTGTGGGACTGACCGGGACCATTCCTCCTCTCCATTCTGACCAGTCAGTGCTCAAGGATGTGGAGTGATGGGAGACTCAGCTAGCTGAGCACCGGTTGGACACACAGGACAAATTGCTCCAGCCCTCGCAGTGTGCTTCTCTGCCAGGAGATGCCGAGATTTGCACACCCTGGGATGTGCCTGGCCCGGGCAGGAGGCCAAGAAACCGCTGTTGCCCTGAACCACTGGGAGTTCGGGGTGACCTGGAGCTGGTGGCACTGGGAGCTGGGGTGAGTCTGGGATCAAGCAGGGACCTACCTGCAGCCCTGGCAGGAGCCCAGACCAGAGCAGGGGATGCCTGAGAGAGGCCCTGAGCCCGTGGGAAGCCCTTGCAGAGCCATGGAAGTGGCTCCTGGTGGGACTTCAGAGCCCATGGGGATCTGCACTGGAGCAGGCTGTTCCTGAGGGACTGTGTCCCATGGGATGGACCTCAGGCTGGAGCAGGACAAGGATTCCTATCCCTGAGGGGGAGGCAGTGACATGACCTGACTGTGACCTCCATCCCCTGTGCCACTGGGTAGGGAGGAGGGAGAGAAATGGGGTATAAAGTGATATTCAGGAAGAAGGGGAGGGTAGGGGGGAAGGGTGGTTTTGTAGGATGTATTTTACTAGTCATTCTGCTGCTGTGATTTGTTTGATAATTGTCCTGGTTTAAAAGACAGTGCCTTGGTATCTGCCAAGGAGTGTGGGAACCTTCCTGGAATGGAAAAGATGACCCCCTCCCTCCTCTATTATACCTTCGAAATTATGGGGCTTTCAGGCACAGATATGAGAGAAGAAGTAACAGTTCTTTACTAGTGTACATATATATATATATATGTAAGTAATGACACAAACCAACAAGACCAGCAACAGCACCACAAACAAACCAACCAACCAACCAAACAACCCAAGCAAGCAAGCAAGCAAGCAACCAACCAACCCAACCAACCAACCAACCAACCCAACCAACCAACCAACCCAACCAACCAACCCAACCAACCAACCCAACCAACCAGCCAACCAACCCAACCAACCCAACCAACCAACCAACCAACCCAGCCAACCAACCAACCCAGCCGACCAACCAACCAACCAACCCAACCGACCAACCCAACCAACATACCAACCAACCAACCCAACGAAGCAATCTCAACCTTTTCCCACATGGAGCCAGTTTCCCCTTTGGTGCAGTTACAATTGTGCCCGGCCGGGGGCGCTGTGGCGCAAGCACGGCCGCCTCTCCACGGGCGGGAGGGGACGGGGACACCATTCCTTTGGGGACCCACGGGACAACGACCAGTCTCTGCACCGACCCACCAGCAGCGGGCAGCGACCAGCGAAGGCAGACAGGTCCCATTGGGCAGGACCTCGGTACCACCCCCAGCAGCCACAGGGACGGTGACAAGAAGGCAGATCCAGGCAGCAAGGCAACAGCTCTCCGCTGAAACCGAGAAATTAAGAATCAGGAATTATTTATAAAAATTGCCTTGAGTAAAAGAAGGGGCTACAAAATCCATGTGAAATGCTGACTGCTCTCATAAGAGCAGCAAGAGAATAAAGACTGCAGGATGAGATAAGAAGCTAGAATACGTAAACAGGATGCAAGCATAAACGCACCATAGGAGGAGTGGGTTCCTTGGATTCTTTTGGACCCCTTAGCCAGAAGAAATGGAAAGGGGGGGATGTCAAAAGAACTGAAGGGAGCATGTGCAAGACGACAAGGTGAAAAGTTCAGCTGATGGAAAATTGCTGACTTCAGCCCCAAAGACCCCCAGACGATCACCAGAGTGACCAACAAGGAGCAGTGCGTAGCTGCAAATAGGCGTGGAACTAATTTTAATACGAAGCAGGGACAGGCAGGGTTAGCAAATGAATATGTATTAGGCGTACTGTGTAACCCTACTTTGTAGAGAATAAAAAGGGAGAAACAAGTCTCCAAGGTGTGCATGCTTTTGGAGGAGATACCCCCCATGCAACTCAGTGCTGAATAAATTCATACTTACTCTCATCATTACTCTGCGAATTACAGAGTTTTTCTATCTGCATATCACTGCAACATGCGTGACCGCTCGCTCACTCTCTCTCAGTCCTCAGCCACACTGAAAGCACTGGAGATCAGCTCCCCCCTCCCCAGTCAAGAATCTCAGAGTCCACCCCAATACTTCTTGAGGTATTTCTGCAATTCCCAAGAAAAACCTCCCCTCAGACAAGAGAAGTCACTCCCCAGCCAAGACTTCCAAACTCTCCATTCTCTGGCTGAGCCATTCCTGTGGTATGTGAAAGTGTGTGGCCATTTCATTTGTTTGCTCCTGTTTGTCTCCCCTCTCTCCCCCACACCGTTTTTTCTTCCAAGTAGAAGATGGGAGAAAAAATTGCCTGACCGAAAAACAAACAAACAAACTACAACAATGACAACACGGACAACAACAACAAAACCTTATTCCCAGCAATAATTAATTCAATTATTTCCCCAAGTCAGATGCGTTGTGCCCATGAGTGACCTCTCCCTGCTCTTATTCTGATCCTCTGGGAGCCTCTCCTTGTGTTCTGTTTCCTGCCCAGCCTCAGGAGGGCAGTGACAGAGCAATTTTGGTGGCACTGACCAGGCCTAGCCAGCCCCAGTAATTGCTCCAATAATTCACTCCATCATTACCCAGCCCCACGGCGGGTCTGGCTGTGCGGGCAGGCAGTGACAGAAATAAAAACTGAGCAAAGTAGGACACAGTGAGAGGAGGGATGTGGTGCCAGTGGGTGAAATCTCCTTGCCCTGAACTGTCAGGGGGAGGAGGAGAGAGAAGCTGGTGCAAAGTAAAGGGGAGGGGAGAAGGTGTAGGCCTGGAGCTGTGGAAGGCAGGTAGAGATGGCCATGGGGCAGCTGGGGATTTTCCTTTCCGGCTCTGTGGGGTGAAAGGGAGTGATGTAAAATCCGTCAAGGGGACGTCCCTGCATCCGGCGCATCTGGGATGTTTTGAGGCAGGGGAGCCCATTGTGGCAGTGTGGGAAAAGGGGGGTCTGGGGTTTATAAAGGGGTGCGGCGTGAGCTCCATGGGCCGGACTGGATTGGGCTCAGCAGCACCCCGGGTCCACCTCCCCGTGGGGCTGCCCCACACCGTGTTCGAAGTCTTGGGACAGATTCCACTGAAAGGACTCAGAAGGACCGCTGTAGGAATGTCTGTACAAGGCATGAGTCTCGCCGATCTTTGCAGCCTGGGAAACGGAATTTGGAGGATCTTTGCTCTCTCTTTGTGACGTGGTTTGAACACAGCAGAGAGCAGAGCCAGGAAAAGTCACCATCCATTTGTGCAGGCAGTTGTTGTGCAGTGACGGCAGTGCCGGCCCCCACATCTCCCACCTGGCTCCCACATCCTGCCCCAGTGTCCCTTCCAGCCCTAGGGTAGAGTTTGGTGGCTTCTCCCTGGCAGATCCACTGCAATTCCTCGCCGTAGCGCTGAGGGATGATTCTGCTGGTCCTGATCATCCCACAATCGCCACATCTCTCCCTGACATCCAGCTAGAACCTGTGGGTTCCAGGAGGGAGCTCGGGTCACCCCAAGAGTCTGTCAGCCACTCCTGGCCCCCAGCGCTGCCCCTGGTGCTCACCGGTGCCGGTCCAGGTGGGAGCCGTTCAGCCACATCCAGCCCGTCCCGGCTGGGGGCACCAAGAGCCCGATCCAGAAGCCCTGCCCAGATTTCTGCAGGGTTTCATTCAAGGGTTTCTGGATCAGAAGAAGAGAAGCCAACCTTGATGGGCCAATGGATCCCAGGACTGAGCTCCACCCGTGTCCTCTAGAGGCGCCTGGGTGGCTTGGGCCTGGGGTGGGGGCTGATGCCAGGATTGTGGGAACGCCCTCACCCTTCCCAGGGTGCCACCAGTCCCCAGCCCTGGGTCTTTTCCATATTCCCAACCCCCATCATTCCTTCCACCAGCTCATTCTGATCCCACAGCAGCAGCAGCATGGCCCCCTGATCCCTGTGTCGCCAGAGGTCGGGGATTACCGGAGCCGTGGAAGACAAGCCTCATGCTATCATGGTCAGCAAGTCTCAGTTTATTGAAATCTTATGCACAACTTATAATGCTTTTAATTAGCTCATACATATTGCAAAAACTCAGCTCATTATTGGTCTGCTACCATTGACGCATATTGTTCTTTGTGGTTAGCCTTGCAGTTACCAGTTCCTTATCTTCAGCTTGCAGTTCTGCATATTTTGGCAGTTTCGATATCTTGTTATTTATGTAACTCTCTCTTCCAGGACATACTGACCTTGAGGCCTCATACTTTAACTAATCTTACAGTATCATGTCCTTTCTCTCTTAGCCATTCTTCTGTCAGGCTCTCAACATCCCTGCAGTCGTCCCGGCCCTTGCTCCAATGGTTGTAGCCAGTAGCACTTGGTCCTGCCTGGCGCCCAGCCCTGAAGGCAGATGCTGCATCCCTCGGCCCCTTGAAAATGGGATCAGAGCCAAGTCAGGTCACCAAGATGCCACTTCATCCCAAAGGGCACCCTGAGCTGCGTTTGGGGCTTCAATCCAGGCGTGCCACAAGATTTTGGTAAAGATTTTAGAGTGGAGAAGCCTTGGTGCTGTTCTGTGGAGACTGTGCAGGGCAAAGAACTTCCCTCAGTTCAGAGAGGATGTTCTCCCGGGTGCTGTTGGTGTCTCCAATATTCCCATTCCGGATATTGCTGCTTCCTGGACTCTCTAGCTGCTGGTGGAGAGCTGCAGAGGAGGGAAGGCTGAGCAGGGGACAGGACCTTGCCTGGCCTGACACCTTTGGGGGGCCAGGCTCTGCACTCCTGTGCCTGATCTCATGATCTCATGATCTCATGATCTCATGATCTCATGGGCTGGGGGTTTCTTTCACCTTCAGGAGCTATTCCAGGAATTATCCTGTTTCTCTTGCACTACACATTTATACGCTAAGCCTGTATATATATGTAGATATAACACTGTGGAAACAGATTTCCACAAACATATTCTTCTAACACTGTGCTTATACACTACCCTTTTATATCTATATTGGTGTAACACTGTGAATACAGACTACAAACAAGTGCTTCCAAGGTGAACGTGACCTGGGTTGGGGCAAGGTGATGATAATGCCAGTGTGTGATTTGC